TGAAACAACGATGGAGGACTGCCGACCGTTGCAACTTGACTTATGAGAGCTCCACCAGAGATCGTTCGGACCTGGGGCACGATTCGATGATCGCTTCACATAGCCGAAATATGGGCTCCTTCCACGACACGGACCATTACATCTGAAGAGATCTACACTTGAATAAAAGAAATATTACTTCGTAGCTGTTAAGGATAAACAGCGATGATTAGAATCCACTCGAAACGAATGAAATGGACATAAATAAATGACCTAAGAGAAACGAGAGCACAAAAGGTGATTGTAGGACAGGGCACGAAAGGCTACTGGTCAACCCTAAGCAACATTTGGTAGTTCCTGAAAGGATGAAAAACTACCAGAGGCCCCACAAAAACGCCATTTCCCAGACGAATTCGGAGCACAACGCAGTGGATACTGGTCAAACTATCAATGTTTATTTACCCAATGATGCTGGATAATATGCAAAACCTTCAAACCAGGCGATAGTAGAACCCACGTTGTTTATATTTATTTGCTGCGAGTATTTTAGTGATTATTAATATATCGATGTGTATTTGTGACCCGATGGCTCAATACTTTCTATAAGCAGTTTGAAATACAAAGTTATAAGATAGACAGCGGGAGCTTGTAGAAACACTTCAGGTTAACCTGAAAGAACAGGGCTAAAGCTCTCGGCGTTGATCAATCCCTGAGGGTAAGCCATGCATTTGTCACCATCTAGTGCCGTTTGAGGTTACCGCATGGATGTATGGCCTTCACAATAACTCGCGGTGGCCTACCGATGTACCAAGTTACCGGTGCTATCTTCCAAAACAAGTCAGGTAACAATTCACTGACCCCGGAGAAATGGAACTTGGCGAGCTTTTAGTGCGGGATTGACCATTAATTAACGATTGATAGATCATGTGTGTTCTAGAGCACCACTAACAACTGGTCACACACCCGATCGCCAGATAACTTGGGAGTTTTTAAACTCCTATGGACCATGGACCCAATTCTATGCATATGTAACCCCGGAGCGTGCTGCGTCTAACAGTGGAACGCTGAGGCTACACGTCATTGTTGGACGCAACACGCTGGAGGGTCAGACACGCAGAGGGTCAGGTTCGCACCCGATGGGGTTAAATCGAAGAAGTACGCAAACCTCCATATGTGCTGCTTGTAGACGGCAACTTCGTCATGAAATGAATGATAGATGGTTATCCTGGTGTTCGCCATTTGATTAATCCTGAACATTGGCAGAGATTCTTCCACAATTTTTTCCTATTTTGAAATAAGAGGCCACCTCAGAACTTCACAAATAGGGGCAATGAAAAGTTCAAAAAACAGTATAGCGATTGATAACCTGCACATATGATATTGAAATTCGGGTCCATGACCGTCACGATCTCGATTTCTTTGCGTAACAAACAGAAAGGCGTGGATCATCTCGTGCTGAATATGGATATGTCGCTATATTTACATATGTGTACGTGTATACGTGTGTATATACACCCATACACATGTACATGCACATGCATATGCACATGTATACATGTAGACATACATGCGCGTATAAATATACATGTTGTATAAACCTGTATATAGACAAGATACGCATATCCAAGGACACTGAAGACACACAAAACTTCGTGCCTCGAGCGGGAGTCGAACCCGCTCCACTCATATCAAAACCCGCGCTACTCCTACAACCGAAATCACCATTCTGTTAACACTCTTTCCACCGTGCATATCAGTTAGTAACCTTGGATAGTAGGCAGAGATGTTTGGATCTCCAAGGATGGTGATATGCAAAACTTTTGATTTCAGGCGGGGATCGAACCTGCGTTTCACCCATACTGGGGGCCGAAGCCAATGCCTCTTGATTTCCTATAATATATTCATTCGTAAATGACGCTTACGATGAGTTTCTAGAATTTTTCAAATGAGAACTTTTGGTGGCGATCCAATGCTTCATTGTCTCTTTCTTTCAAGTTTATTTTTTTTCTCCATTTTGAATGAATCGTGCCGGGTTCAATTCCCCCCCCCCCCCTCCCCCCACAAAGCCGAAAGTTGTGACTAGAACTCGGCATCGTTGGAACGTGTATAGATATCCATACACAGGTATATACATGCACATACATATCTATATACACGTATATATATATATGCGTGTATACGTACACATAATGACTTGAGTAGCTTCATATAGTCATACAGGGTGCTATAAGCGCGGTAAGACAAAAATTCACGTAGATATAGCATATGTATGTGTTTTATATACATGAATTTACACCTACATATTCCCTTTGGAATATCACTTACTCCCATTAAGTCTTTCTTGACCGTGGACCTACGGCTTCTGCATGCCTAACTGGCAACTCTGGACGGTCTGCTCCACCTCCACTGCATCTTGAACCCCCAGCGTGCCGCATCGATAATGATACACTGTTGCGGCCGATAACGTTGCTGCTGCGTCTAACAATGGCACGCTGGAATTCAGAGATGCAAGAGCGGGGCAGACGCCCAGAGTTGCCAGTTAGAGACGCAGACGTGGGTCCACGGTCCCAAAATAGTTAAGAATCTATTCCAAGTTAATCACAATTTTTCGTATATTTTTAGTGCATTCAAAACGGATTGAATCGCCCATATCTCCACAAAAAAAGCGATTCCCTCCTGATGCTGAAACTTATCGCAGATAACGATCAATAAATCAACACGCCAATGAATCAATCGATGCTCCTTTGCATTAACTGAGTCACGTAACTACGAGGGGGGATTGTATTAGAACGTACCAGAAGTGTTTCGATGAGATCTTTTCGTGGACGTAACTTTAGCAGCGGGACACTGAGTCGGATGGAACACAAACCGCTTCGTCCCTCGTATGCACAAACACCTGCACATCTGCAAAGAGTTCATCCTCGTTGTCGGCAACGATCTCTTCCAGACTCCACCACTAGAAATCCACGAAAAACACTCACGAGAACATCCGTGGACTCCATTTCACCTCACAGCGAGCCAGGAGACCTTCGAAGAAGAGATCGTTGAACTCCGTGAAGAGCGCGTGAATGTCCGGGCACGGATCCGTCAGCTCCAGTTGTGGATTCGTGACGTCATAGGACATTGAAGCGGCAGAGCGGAGCTATGCGGGCACCCTGTGAATGGAGTGAATGACAGCGGAACAGACACGTCACGCGATGTCCGAGATCACCACACAGTCAATTTCATAGAGGCGGAAACTCGTCCGCGACAATTTCAACACGGCAATGGTGGCTTAGCCCTTTCGGAACCGTGGACCCACCTCCTCTGCATCTCCAACCCTTAATGTGGAAAGGCTGGACAGTCTGAAATGTCAGTGGAACGATTATGTCACACGATGTCCGAGATCACCACACAGTGGTTTTTATAAAGGCGGATAACTCGTTCGCGACGATCTAAACGCGGCAATTGTGGCTCAGCCCTTTCGCAACCGTGGACCCACCTCCTCTGCATCTCCAACCCTTAGAGTAGAAACGCTGGACGGTCCGGAATGTCAGCGGAACAAATTTGTCACGCGATGTTCGAGATCACCACACAGTCGATTTCATAGATGCAGAGAAGTCGTCCGCGACAATTTTAACGCGGCAATGGTGGTTTTATCCCTTTCGGAACCGTGGACCCACCTCCTCTGCGTCTCTGACCCTTAAGGTGGAAACGCTGGACGGTCTGCCTCACCTCATCCGCATCTCTAGCGCCTAGAGTGGGAACGCGTTGAATGAATTGTTATAATATTTCAATTGCATTGTTGTTATTTTCCTATATTTATGTTGGACATAGATATATAATGTTGTTAGAAGCAGGAAAATAACAATAATACAACTGAAATTATACAATAATTACTACTGTTACTAAAACTCTGGTGGAAAGCCTTTGTGCAGCGAAGAATTCTCCTTCAAATATCCTTGCCCGATAACGGAAACAAGTCTGGTACTAATCCGCCGATCCCAAACGAGCCTAGATTGCTGGGAAAGGGACAGGATTGAACCAGGGAGCGACTTACTATGCATTGAAAAGTATCTCTAAGCACTGCGCTACACAAGCTTCAAACAGTGGTGATACACAGGAACAGCAGTGGCATGCATACCCATAGATCGATCGAGCATAGCTACTAAGGGGTTTTTCTAAAGACAAAAACAAACAAATTACCACGATTATTAGTTCTTTAGGACGATCGATTTCGACTGAGTAACGCGAAAGACCCACTATTGATCGATATCAATCGATATCGATTAAGTAACACAAAGGATACCGGTAATAAGGAAGGGGTATTCGATGCTCGGCTATCGGTACTAAGGACGATATGCGTTCGTAATTGCGCGTCACTCCACGCAATGCGGTCTCCACACTTGATTCGACGTTTCGCGCATCATTTGGATTTTCAGTCACCCCGTTGCGGAATGTTTCCCGTTTGCATTGAGGTCAATGCGTGTCATAAGGAATGTCGTCGTGAATAAATCGTCGTTGGTCACGTGACGGCTTGACCCCGAGGCAGCAACTACAAAGCGACCGTTACTTCAGTCAAGCCTAAGAACAAAAAGCCCCTTTTCCTTTTTCAGTGACGTCACAATTTATTCTCGTCAATCTCTGGGAAATAACCGCTTCAACCCTTTCGGGACCGCAATTCAGCCGATCGACCGCGCAACGCATTTCGCGAATGGCGCGCGTTTTCTTTATCAAATTAGAATTTTTTCTCCGTTTTAGAGATCTGTTCAGATTTTTTGTGTAACTCTGATACTCATGCGTATATAACTCTCATAAACGAAGAGAACTCTGCGTGCAAAACGTAAGCTCTTTTTTGGGCTCACAGTGTTTTATGAAAACCTTGTTGAAATACGATTTTTGCTTCAAAATCGTCAAGATTTGAGCTATCGAATTTCCAAGAAAAGCGCGGCGAAAAGCCGTCCACAGGCCACAATCGAGCAAACGGAGGGAAAAATAATAGTTACTTATAACTTAGAGAATTGAGTGGTGAGCAAAAACACGGCCTCAAGCGGAAATCGAACACGCGTTTCACCCTATCCGGGGACGCGTGCTTTAACCACTACACCACCGAGGCACATTTGCCCGACCACTCATTCTTCAACATCTCAATGTTAGCTATCAGCCACCAACCTTCAACAGGTTTGGTCGGATACGCGATTTCGCCTTATAAATCCCGATATTCGAAATTATAGTATTTCTACTGCTTATTTCGCAGTCTTATGATGTTACTTATACAACTTAGAGAATTGAGTGGTGAGCAAAAACACGGCCTCAGGCGGGAATCGAACCCGCGTTTCATCCTATCCGGCGGCATAGTGAAAAAAAGTAATAGTAAAAGTAAAAATAGTTAAAAGTAAAAAAAAGTAAAAAATAAATGTAATAGCGTAATTTTGAAATATTTTAATATATTAATATTTTAATTTTATTTCAAATTTAGTTTGTTTAGTTTAAAAGTAATAGTTTACCAATCGACCACCTTTTATAGACCTCGCTCAAGAAACAACAATAGTGTGATATTGATATAACAGGTTCTGAGCTGTTATTGAGGTCTAAGTGCTAGACAGGCTCCTGTTTCGTCCTCCAGAACTCCTCAGTAGCACAGTCTATCGGATCAGCCGATCCCTTGAGGCTAGACTCCTCTATGAAAGAATCGACGCCGAGCAATAAATCAGTGCAAGTTAGGTGATAGAAACTGCTGACACTGCAAAGACTAGCAGCCGAGTTTGTGGCTGTTGAAATGAATCAAGCCTCTCCATTTGTTTTATCGTTTTGAACGGGGTCTACAAAGAAGCGGTCGAATGGAGAGGTATGATTTTAACAGCTACAAGCTCGCTGCTAACCTTTGCAATGTCAGGGGTTTCTATCATCTGACTTGCGGTGATCCATTACTTGACGTCGATTCCTACATAGAAGAGAGCCTCAGGGGATCGGCAGATCTGATGAACTGTGCTACTGATGAAACCTGGAGGACGAAACAGGCCAATTAGACCTCACAAACGGGTCAAAACATGTTATATCGTTGTCAAACATAATAGTGTTAGGACCTTCCATAAGTCTTGACACTAGAACAATAATCCCAAATCTATTAACCAGAAATAATTGAAATTGTATGACTTCGTTTCGAGTTGTTAATTGTTTCGAAAAAAGAGCGCATGTGGCGCAGTGGTTAGAGGTGCCCTCCGTCGCATACGAGGTCAATGGTTCGACCTCGCACTCATGGCTCACCAAGCCATCCATCCCTCCGAGGTTGGTAAATTGGTACCAGGCAGGTCTCAGACTTGTCTGGGAGGCTAAGCAGCACTGACTCGGTTCAGCGGGAGGTCACCGCGAGTCATTGTAAAGGCCAGATATGCATTTAATCACATCAGACGAAGTTAAAAATTGAAGTCGAATGCATGGCGCATCCCTCAGGGATTGATCAACGCCAAGAGCTTTATCCTTTTAATCCTTTTATCGTTTCGAGTGCTTTCTTAAGACCGTGCTAAAATTTCAACCACTTGTGTCACCTGTCGTCCCGTTGATCGTCGAGTGCCTCGAGCGGGTTGACCAGCAACACTTTCATTTTTCCCTATCTCGTGTAAAAGTAGCCCAGTGGGTCCTCCTCGCTCTAGGGATTCGCTGAGCATCATATCTTTCTTCTATCGCTTTCGTGAAGAAATTGGACCAATGGATCGGTGGTCTTCTTTTAGAGCGCTTGATGTCCCGAGGAATCCAGTCGGTAACGGCTCTCGTCCATCGGTTGTCGTTGAAGCGCAAATTCTATATACCTGATAATTTTTTTGAGCCATGCATGTGGTCTGTTATGGACACTTCTGCAATCCAGTACACGTGTTTCGACCTTAGCATCCTCGTCAGTTGGGCAGACCCTTCGTCTTTTTATTCAATCCTCTCAAGCAGAACTCAGACCCCTGTATAGAGGGAGACGCAGACGTACTATCTACTTGAAACAAAAGGTGTGTTGTATTAGGTTGGAAAGAAAGTTCCCATCGTTTGGATGGATATGTCGTTTTTTCACATGAATTATGTGTGATTCTCACATCATCTCAAAGGTCTACTTCTTGCGCATCTATTGATATATAATTTGTCTATATCTGCTGCAGGATGGAGCTGTCCAGGGAACAAAAACGTTTCTTGATGCACATCGCCATCCGTACCGCGTCAAAATCGAATTGGTAGAAAGATGATCACTTGCGTTTGGTGGAATTCTGAAGAGATTTTACATTCTAAACTTGTTCCAAATGACAGATCCATCAACGCCGATCCTTACTGCGAGCAGCTGGACCGAGATTATACGACAATTTGGCCGAGAAGTACCCAGAACTTGTTCGTCGGAAGCGCCCTTTGTTTCAGCAGGACAACGCAAAACCATGCACCAGCCATGAAGACCAAGAGGCAGAGTTTGAGGAATTGGACAGAGTTGAGATTCTACCGCACCACTCTATAGTCCGGACGTTGCTTCCATCTGATTACGGCCTTTTTCGATCAATGGGACACTTATTGGAAGGTCGCCGCTTTGATTTTTTCGATGAAGTTGAAGAAGCATGCCGAGAGTTCTTTGATTCCATGCCAAAGGAGTGGTACTTCGATCAGATCCGATACCTGGCGGACCGATGGCGAAAAGTGGTGGATAATGATGGCTTGCATTTTGAAGAATAGTTGTTGTTGTTTGTTGTCTGAATATATGCATGAATTTTGACTGTTCTATCAAATGATGGAAACGTTCTTTGCAACCTAGTATTTGACGATACCAGCCGAAAGCAATCGAGTGCACAACACTCCCTATTCAATGATATTTTCTCTCAAGGAAACGTGTAAAAGTACGTCTACTCCTTCTCTAAGTAGGGGGATGTGTTCAGCCCAAGAGGACTAGCTAGAAAGGCGAAGGGCCTGCCCAACTAATGAAGCTGCCAAGGCCGAAACACGTGTATTGGACTGTACAAGTGCTTATAACAAACCACATGCATGGCTCAAAAAAAAACGATTGTCAGGCATATTAAAATTTCATGATAATGGTATCGTCCAGTTGCGCATTTTTTGTGAACATTTTGATCTACAAATTGCCTATACTTGCTTGAAAATAGAGCTGTCTTGGAAAGAAATTCGCTTGCTACTCGTTTACGAATGGCGCATCGGATAAAATGCGGTTGAAGCGGCGCGCAAGATTAATGGAGCTTTCTGTGAACGGCGCGAGCGCGATTGATCTTTCAGACTGTTCGTTCAGCTTTTTCGCGAACAACTCTCTGGCCTTCCTTTCTGCAACCGTATCATCGCCCCAAGCTCTATTAATTTTGCGCTTTGCTTCACTAGCATTCTCCCCTGGGCGCCATTCGTGCATGATTGGCAGGCGAATTTGTTCCCACGACAGCTCCATTTTGAAGCAAGTACAGCCAAGCTGTATACCAAAATGTTCGCAAGAAAAAGCACAATTGGATGATACCAAAATCATGTAATTTTCATTAATTCTGGTTGATAATTTTGATGTTTATTGCTATGCGCCAAAATTTGAAAAGCGACCTAATATTTCGGATGCTATAACGCAATAGGAGAGGCTTTTCAGAAATCAAGCACTTTATTGGACTCGGCAAAATTTAAGCTTTTGAATACTTACTGAAAGTCTAAGGAAAAGTTTTTTTTCAGCAATAAGGCCTCTTAGATGTCGTGTATCCTCCTCGATGCGTGGCGTCCCGAAAGGGTTAATCGTATAGTTTCTCGGCGTAAATATTCATTTGAATAATTTGTTAATTTGAAGGTTATTCGGCTTTCGATTTCGACTGAGATCCGCTCCATCTCTCGATGTGACGATGACTTCAAATCATTCAAAATCGCCTCTCGACAATCATCCGCTTCTTGGAAAGACGAAACTGCGGCAAACGCTCTCGAAAACTCGAAAAGTGAACACCCTCATCAATGCAGTGAAGCGATTTCAGGATGAAAATAGCATTAAGGTAAGTCGCATTTGTTTTTCGTGCCCTTATATCTTTTGTTGTTTACGGCATTAGCACGAAGTCGTTAGAAGAAAGTCACTTATTTTTGAATTCTTTCTATGTTTTTTTATTCGTTCTTTCTATTTCTATTAGTATCAGGTGATCCCTAGTGGGGAGACGCCGTGGCCGAGTGGTTATGGTGCTCGTCACGGCGCACGTGGAGCCGAGTTCCACTCCCCAGCTCTCTCCGGCGGTTAACAAAACGCCTCATAAAACGCCACAACCAGCCTGTCCTCGAGGTTACAAGGCGACTCGCTCAACCAGTATTCTACGATGTTCATGAAAAAGACGATTAAACGAATTGGATGCCAGAAGTACTGGGATTTGCCCAGGCCCAGTGATTGTGAAGACTGGGCAATAAAGTGTCAAGGATGTGTGAGTGATATGCGGAACTTCGAACGTCGGACAGGAATCAAACCCTATCTTACTCTTTCCTAGGCGTGTGCTAAGCAATTGATTCACCGAAACTCCTGCTTTTTTTTCCAAAGTTTTGCGTATCACTCAGCATTGTTGGATGTGAATATGTTATCATTTTCTGCGTTTTTTCTTTTTTTTTTACCCTTTCGGCCCTTTACTCTTCTTTTCCTTTATAATTCTTCTCTTCAATATGCCTGATAATCATTTCTTGAGCCACGCATGTCAGTGTCTGTCAATGAGGGCTGACTTATAGAGCCCGATACACGTGTTTCGATTTTGCGATCTCGTCAATCGGGCTGTTACCCTTTCTCGTCTTTTGCCAGTCCTGTGTGGGTGCTCCATTCCCCACAATAAGAGTTACCGACGGCGAACGCTTTACACTCTATGTCCAGTGAAAAGCTCGCCAAACACAGAGTGTTGTACACTCGATTCCTCGTGGCTAGTATATTTAATATAACATATCTTTCATTTCGAGTGTTTTCTTAGAACCACAGCTCAAATTTCAATATGCCTGATAATCATTATTTGAGCCACGCATGTCAGTGGTCTCTCATTAAGTCGCTAACTCTTATTGTGGGGACTGGAGCACCCACAGAGATTAGCAAAAGACGAGAAAGGGTAACTGCCCGACTGACGAGATCGCAAGATTGAAACACGTGTATCGGGCTCTATA